CTGATAAATACCTTTCCAATATCAAGGTAGTTATATATAAAGCAGCATGCATCCTGCCACTGCCTTTTAATTTGCCAATACCGCATCAAACAAAAGCACCTGGTTTTTGTTTGCATTACTCCCAGTGCTTCTTGCACGTGTGAGTTTCCCTGGCATTTGCCCCTTACTCTTGCAAACATCTAACTGCTATTCCTTTAAAATTTCAGACTGGTTGGTTAGTTTTGAAGATGTACATCAGACTTTCACTGTCCTCATTCAGAGATGATTCTGTCCCTTGTATTTTTCTGGTACCTTATTAAATTACATTGAAGAGTATTTCCCCCCCCCCCGAATCGACTTATAAAAGAGACAGTCCAAAATTTATGTGGTTAATTGAGTCCAAGGAATTTAGACCGCAAGGAAATAAATAAATAAATTGAAAGTTCGTGTAACTTACGACTCTTATACCGTATGACCCCTGTACAATGTGATCCTAAGCATATTTGAGCAAGTCCCATTGCCCCCAGTAAACATCTGTAGAGTTACGTTTGTATATTAAAAGTGCCTTATTTTGGTGTATTGCAGAGAACGGTTGTTGTGAGGATTCAGCATCTGTATTTTACTTGGTGATGTTATCCTTCTTTATGACTGATGACACTTCTGACATATACTAACACAGTAGTTCTCAAATTTTTAGAAGTGAATCCTGCTTCTAAACTTGCTTTATCTTTTAGTAATCCTACAATATCTTTATGTCCTTTACTCCTCTCTGATGTAAAATGCAAGAATCTTTTTTCTGTTGGTGCTGATGATTATGTGTGTTCTTTATGCCCACCCACATGTGTGTGCATATATATATAGAGAGAAAAGTTGCTATATGTTTAAGAACATAAGAAGCATGAAACCATAGGATGCAGCAGCCATATACCTTACTAGCCTGTCTGCCTGTCCACCCCCATCTCCCCACGTATCTCTGCAGCTCTTCCATACTCATAAGGGAGAATTCTAGCCGTCTTTTCTCTCAGTTACAAACACATTGTTGCAGCACCTGCTGCTCTTGATGGCAACTGTAGCTGATGATTGGTCGTCTTCACACTGGAGTCAAGGATCTGCCTTGTTCTCCAGACCCAAAGCTGCTTTCTTCCTGCTTCCTGGCTGTGTATTGTTCAAGCTGAGGGGAGGTGGGAGTCTTTCCAGGTCAGGTAAAAGCACTATGGTTACCATGGCCAGCATCTTCGCCAGTTTCACTGAAAGGATATCTGGGCCTCAGCAAAGTCAGTCAGGGTGCTGCAGTTGCCATAGCACCTCATCCTGGATCCGGGAAGGCTGCCCCTCCATTTGGGAGACAAGAGTTCTGACTGACTTTATGGGTGGAGGGCAGATTTCTGTGCTGGGGCCGTATGTAGTTGCAACCAGTGTCCCTCTAAGCTGAGTTAGTGTGAGCTAGCTCACAGTTTTTTAGCCTCCGGCTCGCACATTTTTGTCTCAGCTCAGGAAGGATGACTCCAGAGCAAACTAATTTATGCAGTAGCCAAATCGCTCGCTCACAACTTTAATGCCCGTAGCTCACAAAGTAGGATTTTTGCTTGCAAGACTCCTCGGCTTAGAGGGAGCATTGGCTGCAACCCGCCTGAGTTTAAGAGCATATCGTTTGGGAACCACTGCTTTCGTTCCCATTTGTTTCCCAGCTGTAGAAGCGGAAGATATTGCACTGCCCACTTTAAATGTTTTAAACTGGTCGTATTGTTCTGTTCCAATATTGTTATTTTATTTGATTGAATTATTTTAAGACTGTATTATATTTATTGCTGTGAGCCGCCCTAAACCCGCTTGTGGGAAGGGTGGGATATAAATGGAAATAATAAATAAATGTAATTGTCATGGCTAGGGGCTTGAACAAGGACTGTATTAGTGTGTTGCTGAAGGACACTGGTACGATTTCTGTGATGGAAGAGGTGAAAGCACCTCCCACCTTCCTTCTTTTGGCCGGGAAACTGACCCTAGTTAGACTGGGATCTGAGAGACCGGGGTTTGAATTCTCACTCCACTGTGGAAGCTCAGTGGGTAATCTTGATCCAGTCTCTCTCTGTCTCAGCCTTACCCATCTCACAAGGTGGCTGTCGTGAGGATAAAACGAAGGAAAGGAGAACCATATTCTAAGGCACATTAAGCCCCCCTTAGTGAGAAAAGAGTGGTGTGAATATCTAAATAAATGTAGTAGTGATGGCCAGTCTCTCTCCAATTAATGTAACTTCTATTGCTATACAGGCAGCGTGAGAGATGGAAGCCAGAGCTTGTGGGCAGTGGAGCTGTCTCCCAGTTTTGCACAGGGGAATATGGCCTTTGATTAATAATCAGTTGGATTTCTCCATTAGATTGCACAGCAGTAGCTTTTATTTGTAAACCACCTTGGGCAAAATGGGTTTTTTTAATGTACTGTATACAAATGCTGTCTTGAACTTCATGGAAACGCTCTTTTCCCCCTCTTGCTGCTTTACTTTGAAGACTGGTGTTCTAGAAAAGCCTGTTTGTCATGCTTTTCTTACATTTTTTCAATTATGAGTCCTGTGCCTCTGTTGAGAGCAGAGTGTGTGTTAATAAACATGGAGCTGTTGGCTAAGCAGCAGCAACAAAGATTCCTATGAAATAAAAGGGTGTTTTTTAAAAAAACAACCCTTACTGAAAGTACAGATTAACGTGCTGCAGCACTTTGCTAAATAAAAAAGGGGGGGGGGGAAATAAGCCACGCCTTTGTAACACCAGTTCTAAGAATCAAATGAAAACAATTGCAAAGATTATTTTAAAGCAGATTGAGACATTTTTGGAAGCAGGGGTCTTGTGCAAAAGAGTAAAAATACTGGCTACCATTGCATAAAAGGTGAATTACCGTCTTCCCAAAAGATGATTTGGTGGCTTCCCATTCCAAACTGTCCTTTCTCTGTCACAAGCCTCTGACATCTCCCTGTCTCCAGGATTTCTCATATTCAGGCAACTTAAACCCACAGCCCCTGCCAGTGCAGGTTGAGCTCCTTCCACATGGCTCCTTGAGAAAATGCTGTCCATTCCCATTCTCTTTCACTGTTAATTTGACCACAGTGAACGCAGAAGAAGGAAAGACCCAGAGGTCATTTCGGGGGGGATCGCGGGGGATCGCAGTTCCCCCGGGTGAGGTATGGGGGTCGGGGCACATGACAAAGCCCTGCCCCCTGCTTCCGGCTGCCCCGCTTCCGACCCTCATTCAGCCAGGAGGAGGCAGGAGAAGAGGGAGGGTAAGTTGCTTTCTCCCTGCCTCTCCCCACCCCTGCCTGCCTGGGGCCAGGGAGGGCATTCGCGGGGCTTCCTTGCATTCCCGCTGGCCTTGCAGGTCCACCGCCGGGCCCCTCATGGGGCTCGGCAGTGGAGTTGCAAGGCTGGCGGCGGCGGCCGGGACCATTGGGGGCCTTATGACACACTTCCGGTGATGTCAGGGGGTGTGGCATATGCTAATGAGTTATGCTAATGAGTTCCCCTAGCTCTTTTTCTACGAAATGACCCCTGGAAAGACCTAACAGTTGCACTGATTCCACGTCTCTTTGCACTGGCCTACATGTCAGTCCAGTTGACTGAGCCTCTCTGGGTCTTTGAGTCTCACGAGAGCATTCCCTTTGGTGACCTTTTCTTCTAAAGGCTGCATGAGCGATTTTTTTAGCAGCCAGCAAGCTACCTGTGGGAAACTGCTACCTTAAAGACTAGCAATGTTATTCCTGTGTAAACTTTTATTGGATTAGAGCCCACTTCTTCAAGTATTCTGGTCCATGAAAGGTTATGCTAGAATTTTTCTTAAAAGGTCTTTACAGTGCCGCAAGACTTCTGCTTATTTTTTTCTGCAACAGATTAACATGGCTATTTGTCTAGAACTAAATTAATTGGGTTTGTAGTCTTCAAAACATTCACCATGAAGATGGAGTGCATGCTCAAGAAGGCAAACACAAAAGTAACCCTCACTGCTCTTTTCTGTTTACTTAGCTATATGACCACAGCTGGACTGGCTGGAGAGGTGTCCTTTTTCTACCTCTTTCCCAGCTAAGAGGATATATCCCTGGGATAGAAAGGGGAAAATAATAGCTAATTCCTTTGTGTTGCCTGGCCGTGGGGGAGGATCAGCCCTGTACCATCTCCGGAGGATACCTCTCTCAATCAGGGCTTTGTAGGGAAGTTATTTGCAAGGCTAGTTTTACCCTTTCCTGCAAGTGAGAGGCTTCAAATGGAGATTCCATTTAGTTGAAAGTTTCCAAATGGAGGTAGTTCTTACTCATCTCCCCCAGCGAAAGGGCTGTTTTAAAGTCTGGGCCGAGTGTAGGAAGGGCTGAATCTGGGTCTGGTATTGTGAGATCACCTTGGAGCATCAGTGGCATCTTGTTGGACTAGTGACTGGGCTGGGAAAGTCCGCAGCAGGGTATGCGATGGGTTGCAAGGACTTCAGAGCTTTTAGTAGGACTGCTTGGGGCCTCCACAGAGACGGTAACAATGATAGATTCCAATTCTGGGGCTTCATCTGGAAGGCTGCCAACTTAGTTTTGGTGGCACAGTTCTTGAGAATACCAGTTCTGGAAGTGAGAAGCAGAGGCTTTGCTAACTTTTCCATTTTACTTGGAAACTGAATTGGAAAACTCTTGTGGCACTTTTTCTTGTTGTATCATATTTTTAATTTCTCAGCATATGTAAGCAGAATATTTTTGATGGAACGGTTGCGTTTGTGATTTTTACCTTAATTATAAGGAGAACGTGTAGCTGTTAATCTGTTAAGTTTATTCTAAACTGTTGCATGTGTGATTATTTTGATTCTGTTGGTTGTTCTCTGAGTGCAGTTTCACGGTTTCTAATTGTAATAGATTAATAGATTTTGCAGTGCCAGTTGGCATTTAATACAGTTCTTAGCTGCTGTTGATTTCATTCCCTTTTCTCACCCTTCCTTATAAATAAAGCTGACTGTTAGGAACTTATTAGCTACTATATTTAAATGAATTCTTCTTTTTTTGCAGCCCCATCTGCTTTGAAATGATTGAAGAAGCATATATGACAAAATGTGGGCACAGCTTCTGGTAAGATTTGTTGACCAAGCTGTCTTAATTTTATTTCTAAATTTTCTCATGTTGAGGGGCACTTGCCTAGACCCAAGTCACAGACTTGATTCTAAGTAAGTGGCATGGAATGGCACAGACATTGTCACTTAACTCTTATCCCGAGGATGCACATACATATCTGGATCCAGAATGCTTAGGCTGGAATCTGGTGTTGAGACTGCTTTGTAGCTAGAATTTGTGATGCAGAAATCTGTATTGAGGAAACAACATGGTTCTTATAACCGCTGAAATGTGGTGCAAACATCTGGTATTTCTTTTTGCCATGAAAATACTGGTTTTAGGAGCTGATATGTGCAGCTGCTGTCCAGTCCACATTCTTGCTTGTGCTTCTCTAGCAATAATGTATGCTCGTTTTTGCATTCAGGTTTCTCTTTTCTGCATGTGCAATTGTGCCTTTTAAGGGTGCTTAAATTGTTTTTGCATGTCTCGTAATGCAAGGGGAAATGGGAGGAGCAAGTGAGTCATGCTTCCCGTTCTGTGTATGTGGTGTGATGAAAAAGTTGAATTTGTACATCTCTATCGCTGGTCAGCTGTGCACTGTGCCCCTGCACCAGGCGTTTCCACAGCTAATTGTAGAGGGAGATACAAAAATTGAACCTCAGATGTTTATAATCATAGACATAGAACAGGATACGCTTTTCCTTTTGTGTCTCTTCCATCTCCCACCCCCACAACTTCCATAGCCAGAAATTAATACTGCCTCTTGATCCCTCTTTACTGACTCTCATTTTAGTTCTGTCCATCTCTGCTCATCTGAACTGATCACCTTACTAACACAGCAAACAGTTGTCTGTCTAATGATGTTAACAGAGACAGCTTTGTAGACCATGATTATTCAGGGACTCTTTTTTTTCCATAGTCATCTCCACATGTAAAATTAGCTTTGTAGTCAATAAATTGGGAATTAAGCAAGGTAAGGAAAATAAGAGTGGGTTCCTAATCATGTCCTTCTTAAGATGAAGCTTTGCATCTTTCATCCCAAC